GGGGGGGGGGGGGCTCTTCCTCCATTGTAATTATGAACCATTAAGAGGCGACTCTCATGTATCTCGAGAACTGTCGTGAAGGAGGTTTGAATGGTGTTTTGTTGTATCACTAGAGACATTTCACTCTCTACTGCAACATTTCTATGGCAACGGTAAAATTACTAATCTATCGCTTATTCAAATAACAAAGGACCCTGCGTTCCTTTTATTTTACATGAGCAATGAAAATACTAAATTGCCCCCCCGGAGATAAAAAAAAAATCACTTGCCGTTAGTACAGGCGTATTATCGGGTTTTTATAATTTAGGTTACAGTTGTATTACTAATATGCCATTTCAGTACATGAAAAAAAAAAAAAAAGCTTTCAGTCAATGGTGCTCGTGTCCTTTGGAGTTGCTTATTTTGTTTTTGTTTTTTTTTTAATCAAGAGTAAGAGTGTTACTGTATTTTATCATAATCAAGAAATAATAAATTTTAAAAAGTTATTAGCCGTGCAGTGCTTTCTTTTGATCAAACTTAATTTTTTAGCAGGTTTGGGGAGTGTCATTGACGAATGGATAATTTACTGTCGGTAATTTTATTTTTCCCTCTTCTCCCCTAAATTATTGACCGGTCTTCTTTGTTATTTTATATTTGTGATTTGATTATTTTGTTTTAATAATGTCATTAGCTCATTAATAAAAGTTTTATTTTTTTAATTTAACTATTAAATTCTAATTTATAATATATTATGATTTTCAATTGGATTCTTATTCTATTAATTTCTGATTTTTTTACTTAATCATTTTATAAAAGTTTTTTTTCAATTTTGTTATTCAATCCAAGTTTATTTTGTATTGTTATCTTTAACTTGGTCCTTAATTTTTGTTGTTAGAGTTATTTTTCTCTTCAATCTAACTCTCTAGACAAAAATTTATTTCACCTTTTCTTTTAATATATTTTTCCATCCCTTGGCCCTTTTTTTAGTGTTTTTATTTTTTATCTGGTCTTTTAATTTTAATTTTTCATATCTTTTTTTTATATGGTCTATATTCTATAGGTTTATTATTATTTTTTTGATTCCTTTATACAGGTTTTTTTGGTTTTTTATTTTACTTTTCAATCCAAGTTTATGTTATGTTATTTTTTTTTAATTTTCCTTGATTTTTTATTCCCCCTTTTTTTAGATTTTTTAAATTTAACCATCCAATAAAAAAAATCTAGTTTCCCTCTAGTTTATTTTTTATTTCCAATTTCATTTTTATCATTTTAACAACTATTTTTTAATTTTAAATCATTTTATGTAATTAATTATTTATCCATTATATTTTTTAGTGCCTATTGACTCGTCCTAGTTTTTTTCATTTAATTTTGTGCTTCTGTTGTTTTTTTTTTTGAAGGTGTTGTTATGTTTTCTATAAAAAATTGTCTATATATTATCATTATCTTTTATTTTATCATGTAATTAAAATAAAACTAACATTAATAAGTTAGTGTTGCCACTCAAATTAAAATTGTTAATTGCTCTAATTTTTAAAAAATGTGTTTATATCACTTAAACATTATTTATTGCAAAAAAAAAACCCTGTAATTTAGCACAGTCTTGTACATAACTTTCTCTATTATTGAACTGATAACTTCTATATTATAAAATAAAAAAAAGTTTTGAACTTGAATTTATTTAATCCTATTGTCATGATAAACCCCAAGTTACTTCTATTTTTTATATTCAAACAACATTGCTTGATTTTTTATTTTTTTTATTTTCTAGTTTTAATAGAGAGTATTAGATTTGTCTTACTCAACTAAATCATGAATAAAACAAATCAAGTTGGGCTAAAATCAATATCAAAATTTATGGTGAGCTTTTCAAATCAATCCACCAAAGGAGTCAAATTTAACAACTATACTCCGACCTATCAGTACAGTGCGGCAATACTCTTGGAATTATATAATTTCACATGTAACAAGAGAAAATATATCCTGGAATGTCACAATAAATCACAGCATGACAAGCATTAAAGTAGATTTTTTGTTCTTTTTCATTAAAAAATATTTTAATAATGGGTACAAAACCCATAAACAAGTCTTAAAATTTCCACGAGATACCCAATGTCTTCACCCGCAGACAATTAAAACCCTGCCCCTCACGCGCATTTACCGTACTCACGCCCTTATTCTGACCTTTCCTCGCTGGACCCCACTTATCCCTCACTGGCCCTAGCCCCCACTCTCCTCCAAAGCGCGTGAAATTTTTCCCCCTTTAAAGTACCGATTCCCTCCCTCCCTGACATCGCCCACATTGCCCCCCGCCCCTCTCTCGGACCAAAGGATCCCCCCTCTCCCTCTCAAAATTCCCCAGCTCATCAGATCCGACTCAACTCACCGAGTCATGAAATCGAATCAACCACCACCACCACAACCCCCCTCCTCCACTAATCGTCACACCAACAACAGCAGACCGCGTCGCCGCCCTGACTTAACCCTCCCTCTCCCACAACGCGACCCTGCCCTCGCGGTCCCCCTCCCTCTCCCGCCCAACTCCGTCGGCTCAAACCCCTCTTCATCCTCCGTCTCCTCAGCTCGAGCTCAACTCAGCTTCTCCGAGCTCGACCGAATCAACCGAATCGGAAGCGGCAGCGGCGGAACCGTCTACAAAGTCGTCCACCGTCCAACCGGCCGCCTCTACGCTCTCAAAGTCATCTACGGCAACCACGAAGACTCCGTTCGCAACCAGATCTGCCGCGAGATCGAGATCCTCCGCGACGTCAACCACCCCAACGTCGTTAAATGCCACGACATGTTCGATCACAACGGTGAGATCCAGGTCCTTCTAGAATTCATGGACAACGGTTCCTTAGAAGGGACCCACATAAACCACGAGGCATATCTATCTGACGTGGCACGGCAGATATTAAACGGCATCGCCTACTTGCATAAAAGGAAAATTGTGCACAGAGATATTAAGCCAAGTAATCTGTTAATGAACTCTAAAAAAAATGTGAAGATAGCTGATTTTGGGGTTAGCAGAATATTAGCACAGACGATGGATCCTTGCAATAGCTCAGTAGGAACAATTGCTTACATGAGCCCAGAAAGGATAAACACTGATCTGAATCAAGGATTGTATGATGGGTATGCAGGGGATATATGGAGCTTAGGGGTTAGCATTTTGGAGTTCTATTTAGGGAGGTTTCCATTTGGTGTAGGAAGACAAGGGGATTGGGCAAGTTTAATGTGCGCAATTTGTATGTCACAACCACCGGAGGCGCCGGCGAGTGCATCAAGGGAGTTTAGGAATTTTATTGCTTGTTGCCTGCAGAGGGAGCCGTCGAGGAGGTGGACTGCCAATCAGTTGTTGCAGCATCCGTTTATTGTGAGAAGAGGTGGAGGTGGAGAGGGGGGTGGTGGAAATGGTACTCATAGCTTGATGTTGCCGCCGCCTCCTAGGCCAATTGCTTAGTAGGTAGTTGTAGTTTTTTTATTGATTTTTTCATGTTACTATTGTGGGTTATTTTTGTTGTTGTTGTTGTTTATGATATTAATGTGAAAATTTTCCCCTTTTTATCTCTTTATGTGTTTTTTGTGAGTTTTGATATGGTGGGCTTGGATTTTTTATTTTAGGTGGAAATGGGAAAATGTTACAGAACCTTTTTGTTTTGATTGAATTAGATTAAGATGCCTATGATTATGATAAAGATAATTTTACCCTATTTTTGGTTTCTTTTGTTATTTGCTTTTACTTTGTTTTAGTTTTTGGCAGGTTTTGATATGATCATTTGGATTTTGATGTTTAGGAGGGGAACGAGAACATGGGAGTTTGTGTTTCTGAGTTTTAATCAAATCAGATTAGTAATTCAATGTTTTTTTGAGTGAGTGATTGATTGTTGTTGTTGTTTTTCAGGGTTTTGAAGATATAGTTAAGAAAGAAGGTTTGATTTTTGTTAGTGATGAGTGGTTTAATTTTTAATTTTTTGCCATTTCTGTTTTACAGTTCCAGGTGGGTGTAAAGATTCAGAAGGAATCGTGCAAACTTGTATGGATACATGACATTAAGTTTTGTTCTGCTTTGTAGTATTAATGCATTAGTCTCTCTCTATTTATCCAATACTATCATCTTTATAGATATCACTGTGCAATGCAAATATCATTTTTCCTTTGTATCTGAATGTTAGTGTTTGTGCTGCTGGTATGGTTGGTTAAGAACCACAGGTCCACAAGCTGGAAAGCCAGAATACGATGTGTATTGTTCTTGAAAGCAATGTGTCCTAGTGAACTGTAATATAATGAAAAAGCAAAGCATAACATGTTTGGTATGGCCATGCTAGGGTACCATCGTTTCGTCCTTTTCAATTTCCCCTGTCAGTATCAATCATGTGATTTTACCCGTTACCCTTTCTGCTAACATAACTGTTGAAAATATTGTTCAAGTATCAAAATTTATATAAGCAGCCATTTTATGATGCATTTTATTTTTGGTTATCTTGTTAGATTAGGGATGTTTGGAAACCTACGTTCAACTCTCATCATTTCCATGATTTTGCAAAAAGTTGGGAGGGGATGTTTTATAATTATTGGACTGTGTTTAATTAGTAACTAATCTAATTGATTCATGATAGAGCTTTCTGTAAATGCTCTAAAAGACGCCTTTTGCTTCCCCCCTTACCCAAATGGTCCGGTCCGGTCCTTCATATTTGCCGTGTTAGAAAGTTTTGCTTTCTTTGGAGATGACAGGACAGCTTTGCCGTGTTAGCTAAATCTATACACTAAATATGCTTAAAATAGTTGTCTGTGTTTCTTTTTGGATGTGGGGCTAGTTGTTTGCAAATGCTATGATGAGTTGTTATGGGCACTCGCACACACACACAGTTATCTGTTCTGCTAGTTAGTTAATGTTGCTACATATTAGAACCCGTTAAATTCACTTAGTAAGATTTTACTCATGACTCTCATTGCAGGCAGCTGCCAAAACAAAACCAAAAAATGAATGCTAAAGTTTGCATTACATGGGATGGTTATTATTGTTGCCTTTTTCAGCGTCATCCTTGAGGACCACTTCCTAGTTTTTATCCTTCCTGCTGGACTTGGTCCTGTAGCCAGAAAGGGTTCAGGTTCCAGTCACAGAGAGAGAGGGGGAGAGGGAGAGGGAGAGGGAGAGGGTTAACTGTTAACCATATAATCTGACTGATAGTTTCCTTCGCTGTCTTTGCCAGCTTTTACAGGCCAGCACACATGGGCTAGGCTTGGCGATGCTAGCTTCCATGCAAGACGTTACTTACCTTAAGAATATAATGAGTTGAGCACCGTTCTTTTTGTATGCCACTGGACTTGAGTGAACTTGCCCATAGCAAGAGCATAAAAAATTTCTCACAACTTTGGGGTCACTTGTTGAATAACCACTCACCCAACATGGTCTACACTGTCCGTAGTTTTCGGGGTATGAATCTGTCGATCAATCTGGTGGGTACTTTTCAATGAAAAGGGCATTTGGCATATATTCTCTTCGCTTTTTGGATCCTTGTTCCTGCAAGTGTAGCTGGTTCCTGGTGCATGAATGGTCTCCGTTGCTTTCTTGAGATTTCTTCTTTATCTTATAAGTGCTCAAAGCATTTAGACGACTACTAGTAGGGGCCAGCGAACGTGTTGAATTGGCAAAGATTTGGTGCGATTTGTATTCAAAGTGGAAGTGCTTTTAGCTCTTCATTCTCTTTCTATATATCCATAAACATGATAATCACATAAAAGCAAATCCTACAGGGCTAAATTCTCTGTTAGGCTAAATCTTCCCTTCGCTATTTCACATCATTCTATGTATAGTGTATGGGCACCTTTTAGATCATGTCATTTGGTGAGAAATATCAATCCTTTAGCCTGGAAACTACGTTCGCGTGTAGAGAACGCCATATCTAATCTACTGAAATAACCACTAAAGCCATAAAAAGCTCATGGGCGGAAGTCATGCCACAACATTTGAGAAGCCAGGGAGTTTATGGACTCAATCGAAGGGCCAAGTGCAGTTGTAGCCATGCTCATGGTCTATTATTCTTGAACACAAGGGAGCATACCTGCACGTTACAGAGAGAGTTAGGCAGCGCTATTTTTGTAGATTGTTTTCCCGTTCTCCATTATTGTATGGATTGAGTTGGTGAGAGATGGACCTTGATTATAGTAAGTTAATGACCTTACTTAGGAAGCACTGGCATGATCACCTCATCAAATCTCCCACTAATCATTTCCTTCAGCAAGCTAACATGTTCTTAATTGATAGTTCTTTAACGTCCAACAATAGTTAGCGGGCTTGGAATTGCTGCTGATGGCTCGGCTCATCTGCAGTTTAAGAACCTTGATGTCTCTGCATTGACTTACATGGTGGAAAAAGAAATTTGCGCTTGTCCACGAATTGATATTTGGACATACCTTGACACCTTGAGAATCTCTACCTTCCCTCTTATTTCGTTTAAAAACTCAATTCTTGGTTCCAATATATCCACAAAACCAAGCTAGCTTGCAGGCTTGCAGTAGCACTTGTTATTTCCCCAGTAACAAGAATCAGAGGCAAGTAATTATCCATGAACATTATTTTCAGGTTCATATAGGAGCTAGCAAGTCAATTAGGACTTCAGGAATTGAGAGAGGAACCACGGGTGTTCCCGTAGCATGACTGCTATTCTGTGGCTGCATCTATTGCAAACGGAGAATGAACGGAAAAAGTAAAGGCAAAATCATCTATCTGAGGCTTGGGGGATTGACATTAGCTAATATTTACAAGGAATCCCTCAGCCATATGGAATGATCGTATGATTTAATCAACATTCTCTTAATCAGTCTATAGTTTACTGCTAGCACCCGAAAATAACAAGGACATATCTTTTCCACAAGGTGTTGACATTTGGTCGCTTAAGTTCATTCTTTTAAACTTTCACCTCTTCGTTTCTTCAAGAGTCAATTATTTTCTCTCTTTTTACAGGAATAGTCCTAATTTGCTCTTTCACCCCATACCATATCTATAAGATGCAATCTGGTGCTATGCTAATTCATACAAGATTACGGATAAGTTGACGATTCAATTGATTTTTTTTATTTAAAAAATACTGTTTTGATAAAAAAAATTAATACAATCCAAATAAAACTCAACCCCATCCAATAAAGTTTTAGATTGGTGAATCACGGGGTTGTTCAAGTTAAAAAGTTTTAGATTGGTGAATCACGGGGTTGATTTGTTCAAGTTATCTAAATCACCAGCTGGTTGAGAGTTGTTAGGTCCTACTGGTTTTCTATCTATACCCCAAACTCAAAGTCATTTCAAAAGATAAAATTCTCATTTGCAGTCATAATTATATAATCTTTGAAGTAATTTTTTATTTGGATTGACCACGTTATTTACCTAGATATAAAACATCACACACACACGCACACGCACACGCACACAAACAAATACATGCCCTGAAAGAAGGAAATCACGCTTCGATCAAGATGCCATTCATTATAGTTTGGGGGGCTGTTTTTAGTTTAATCCTTGTATTTTTTTTTTATTATAGTTTTGGCCAATAACCAGAACGCTATTATAATTTTTAAATTTACCAAAATAATATTATGTTGTTATTTATATTCCCAGTCATTCGGTTTAAATCTTACCAAAGGCTCATAAATAAAAATACTCCATAGCTCCAATACAAATAGTTCTTCCCATTTAACCTCACACTCACAGACTGAAGCGAATACATTAAAAAAACTATTATTAATGATTTGTGGTCCGGGTTTATTAAAATTTGATAAATGTTTTTTATTCATTTTAGCTTGTTAACATGACATATCACTGATAAAAATATTACTGATATTTTTCTTGATGAATTTGATATGCAACTAACAAAAGATTGTATGTAATTCCGTTGGTGATTAAATAATAATGACAATTATATTTGCAATAATTATTTTTTAATTTTAAAAAATATACTGACCGACTTTATCTGTTAGTAATACTGTAGAAGCGGAAGACAATATCTCACTCTAAAATAATTGCAGAAACTGATGAAATACGACTTGTTCTAGTCTGTAATCCTCATTTCATTCTAATATTTTAATTAAATGATTAATTGATCTTAATTGAATTGTTTATGCTTTAATATTATATATAGATTATAGATAGCTAATGTAAATAACCCCATTTATTCAACTTGGGGGGCGCCTAAATTAAACCCACATGAGCTTTTTTGGATTTCATGCACCGTTGAAGTGACATCAATAGTATTCAGATAGAGAAGCAGCTGATTAATAAGATTACATAAATATTATTTAACAGTATCCAGACAAAGAAGCAGCTAATGTGTTTTCATATGGTAAGAAGATGATGGATTGGTGGTTGTATTCAGATAATCCCCTGTCCCTTAACAAATACAGAAGATCATGTCAGGCAGCATCACACCTTTTGACCTTCATTTTCCATCAAAAGGTTGTATTAATTGCCTTGAAAATAGCTGTGTTATATATAGTAGCAGTGGTTTTTGAAAGATAGCTGTAGCTTCTGGTGCAGGTGTATATATATATATAAGGAAAGTTCATGCCTTGAAAGAAGGAAATCATGCATAAAAATGCCATCCATGATCGTTTGGGGGGCTATTTTTAGTTCAATCTTTGTATATTTATTACCAAGCAAAATGTTGTAGCAACAACAGTGGTAGATCCATTTTGTGGATCCAGGAAAACAGCCACTGCCGACACCTTACCTTTCAGTAACCTTCAAGCTGTCCTCTCATCTTTAAGATTGAATGCTAGCAATGCTGGATTTTACAATTATAGTCCTGGCCACGAGCCAGACACAGTTTATGGTCTTTATCTTTGCCGAGGAGATGTCTCCCTTAGTCTATGTCGCGAGTGCATCGCAAAAGCAAGTTGCGACTTCTTATAGCTGTGTCCTAACAGCTCCGAGGCCTTTGTATGGTATGATCAATGCATGCTACGCATCGCAACTTCCTCGTCTGTTAGAGACTCAACCATACGGTTAAGTTTACAACAATTCTAGACTTGGAACGGCCGATGTTTTGGTGAATGGTTTTTTACAGAGATTTATAGAATCTGTCGGACAGTCGAAATCCATGTTTGTCCGAGACTGTTATAACGGTACTGGGAACGAGATGAGGTATGGTATAGTGCAGTGCACCAGAGATCTCAGCCTCGATGATTGTACTAAGTGTTTGAATGGATTGCTTAATCATTCCAAGTCATGTTGCCAAGAGAGGTATTTAGGATTTCAGATATTGTATCCAAGTTGCTAATTGGATGGATATTGTTCAGAAAATCTTTTAGTTTTGAGCTTAAAATTGTACCTTTTCTTGATATTTTTCCAAGTTTTTTTTCTATGTGAAACCGCTTAATTCGTAATTTTCTGGTATGGTTCTTGGTACAGATGATAACTAGAGATAACTAGAGATCCATTGATCCAGGTGGCGTTGGTTTGGAGCAAATTATTGCTGTTTTGTGCCCAGAAACCTTGCGGCTGCTCAATTCTAATACCTATTGTGCGCAAAGCTGGAAAGTTCCTGGGCTTTGACTGATCCTGTTAGAAATAACGGGCTAAGGTATTTGTTTTCCGTTCTTACTCTTTGATGATGACATCCCACGTTTCTGCACAGAATTTGGGAATCCTGTTAGCTCATCTTTAGTTTATTTTATTTGTTTTTTTCAATTTAGTTCTCTTAGTTGGGGCAGAGAGCAATATAGATGGTGGAACAGTGTGTAGAACTTTCTGCCTTCTATCCCATGTGAGAAATTTAGTGGTTTTAATCCTCTGATAGAGTCCCCCCTAGATTCACTTCTGGCTAATCATTAAGCAGGTAACTTCTATAGTTTTTTGGATAAAGGTAACTGGGCTGGTGAAGCTTTGCCAGATTGAAGAGATAAAATCAGAATTTTGCCTTGCCTTATCAAAACAATTTTAAGATAACTATCACCTCAACAACCATGGTTGATACCAGTTAATCTTGCTCTCTAACTCCCTTTATAATAATAAAATAAGATTTCTAATTGGATGTTAACAGATTTACCCATGCTTAAACTCTTATTTAATTGCCTTTATACCATACAGGACAGCCATAGCTTTCTCGTTCTCTGAAATTTTGGTGTGCGAGATGGCTAGGAGCAGAAGAAGAGTGGCATTGAGTTTCCTTTTTTCCTTCAAGGGATTAGCCTCTACCATTGCAGTTGTGGGCTGCTTCTTCTTCACCTGCTCCTTCCTTCTCAACGTTCATGTTGGTTCTTCCAGTCCCACTGACCATGAAGTAAGTATTCTTTCTCCCTGTTTGTACATTTGTTTGGTATATCAGAAAAGAAACTATATAGATTTTGCAGAAACAATTTGTCTTGAAAGATGAAACCATAATTCTACGAGGAAAATGTAGACATGCATGAAATATCTTCCTTTCCTTTTGAAGTAGGACTGTTAATGGCTATCACTAACATTTTTATGTTTTCGTTAGGTTTTAGGTTTGAAACAATATGAACGTAATGACGGGAGACATCCACTTTCTCTCACATCAAACGCTCTCAAGGCCCAGTTGAAGGAAACTGTGCGGTCAATGGTTGACTACCAAGGCTTGTTGCTTATGCATGGTTCCATAGCTCGGAAACTAAAACTTGAGAACTCTAAGCTTGTTAGGAATTTTGCTGAGATTTCGATAAACTTCACAGATCTCATAAAAAAGGCTTCTCACTGTGATGTTTCGGATTCCAATACAGCATTGGTGCACCGATTTCTAAAGGAGGCGAAAGAGAGAGTTAAATTTGCTAAGCAATTGATCTCTAAATCAAAAGGGTCTTTTGATAGTCAACTCAAGATTCAAAAACTGAAAGACACAATTTTTGGTTTGGAGGAACAGATGACAAAAATGAAAACTAAAGGTCAGTTCGCGAAATCAATTGCTGCAAAAGCAATCCCAAGAAACTTGCATTGCCTTGCATTGCGGTTAATGCAAGAGAGGATTGAGAATCCTATTCGTTACATCAACAGACAGACGAAGTCACGGCAGCCACGGCAAGAGTTTGAAGATCCAAATCTTTACCATTATGCTATATTTTCAGATAATGTTCTTGCAGCTTCAGTGGTGGTGAATTCATTGGTGCAAAACGCAAAGGAGCCATGGAAACATGTTTTACATATTGTGACAGAGAGGACAACTCTTGCAGCAATGGAAGTGATGTTCAAGTTGAAAGACCACAATGGGACGCACATTGAAGTGAAAGCAGTTGAAGATTACAAATTCCTGAACTCATCTTATGTGCCAGTGCTTCGACAACAGGAATCTGCAGAGTTGCTGGGATATTATTATGGGAATGGACTCGAAAACTCGACAACCGACTCTAGCAACTTAAAGTTCAGGAACCCCAAGTATTTATCTATGCTGAACCATTTGAGGTTTTATTTGCCAGAAATGTATCCAAAATTGCTCAAGATTTTATTTTTAGATGATGATGTAGTGGTTCAAAAGGACTTGACAGGGTTGTGGGAGATTGACATGGATGGGAAAGTGAATGGAGCGGTCGAGACATGTTTTGGGTCATTCCATCGATATGATAAATACTTGAAGTTTGATCATCCTTTGATTAAGGAGACGTTCGATCCCAAGGCATGTGCATGGGCTTATGGAATGAACATTTTTGATTTAGATGCCTGGAGAAGAGACAACTGCACTGAAAAGTATCATTATTGGCAAGAGTTGGTAAATACTTACCTTATTCTTGAGTTCTGATCTTATTTGTGTGGTTATTGACTATTGATCTTGATATTGTTGCAGAATGGGAATCGAACTTTGTGGAGGTTGGGGACACTGCCACCTGGTTTAATCACATTTTATTCCACAACAAAGCCACTAGACAAGTCATGGCATGTTCTAGGGCTAGGCTATAACCCAGGACTTAGCGAGGAGAAGATTCAAAATGCTGCAGTTATTCACTACAATGGAGATTCAAAACCTTGGCTTGCCACCGCCATTCCTAGGTACCAACCGCTTTGGACGAAGTATGTCGACTATGATCTGGAGTTTTTCCGAGCCTGCAACTTTGCCCCCTAATCAAATGGCCATATCTTAAGCCTCGATTGGTGTAAACAAGTAATTGTTTGTTATTTCTACTTTATTTTGAAAGTATAGGAATATTAAGCATGTTGGAACTAAATTATTGGTTAGATTGTTGGATCTACCCAAGTTTTCATTCGTCTTGCTTCTCATCCTCTATATTCATAATATATTAGCTTCCTCATTGTTCGTTGACAAGAAAAGAAAAGGAAACCATGCATTCTAAGCATAATAGAGATTCATTTATGAACGTTTGGAATGATTTGGTAGTGGTGTAGTCCTAGAAACACAAGCAAAAGTTACCGGTAGGGTAGGGAGGGTCTGGTTGGCTTGAGGGAATGGGCAAGCAGAAAGTGTATTAGTGAATCAAGCACAATGTAAAGAGATATGTCATTTTGATTCCGCCAGCTAGGAAAAATTCATACTTTGGAATGTTACAATTAGAAAGCAATAAAGACAAGGCAAAATTTTATAACTTCACATCAACCTTTGTCGCTTGTAAAGTGGGACTTGAGAGTTTGTTTTGGCTGATGAAGTTATAATCCTTGCATTGCTCCATCCCGAGCATGAAGGAGCTCCTGTAGAATTTGACGTGAACTGTAATAAATGATTCATTCTATTTGATGGTGACGAATTTGAAGCCCTCAAAACAGAAGAAATTGGATTTGCATATGGCTTCTGATGAACATACGCATCTTTGTTAGAATTTGGTAAAATACTAAGAGGTGTTTTAAGGGGAGGAGGATTTCGCCACTGAGGAAGTTGTCCTGTTATGAGAAGTGATTGGAGCAGGGGCCCGGCATCCATCACGGCTTGCAAGAGTTTTCCCTTCTGAGGCAGAACCTTTCCCTGAGCAAGATAATCAATCACTGCAATGCCCCTGTCATTCTCAACATTGTTACCTCCTGAAGAGACTAAACCCGTGAATTTTGTCCAATTTTGCTGTTCTTGAACAAAAGGCTGATTCAATAACCCCATTTTGCTCGATCCTGCCATGTTCTTGTTTGGGAAATCAGGAGATGAACCAGCATCAAAGAATGAATCCACAGAAGATGAACAGTGTGACAGTCGATTGAATGTTTCAGAATTGGATTCTGATATGCTAAGGTTTGCTTTCGGAGTCGTGTTTAAGACGGGGCTTTCAGGTAGGACTCGAGAAAGAATCTGACCAGGTGATGTAGAAGACATCGACTGGTAAATCAATGTCTGTAGCTGATCTCTTGCTCCATCTCTTTCTTTGTAAGCATTTGCTAAGAGATTGAGCAAATGCTGCACAGTATCCTTCTGTTCTCTCAGCGTCACATTCGCCTTCATTTTCATTTTCTGCAGTTCAAGAGTTGTGTACAAGAGCTTATGTTTTAGGTCATCCATGCTCTGCCAAAAATCCATAACAGGCAGTTTAGCAGATGATATCACTTGGGATTTCCTCAACTAGAGAAGAGCAAAAGCTCCACCATTTAAACGAAAAAACAGCCCCATAGTTTCAAGGTGGGCATACCAACGCCTAACCTTCTTTTAGAAAAATCATGGATCCCCATTGGCATAAACAGTAGTCTGTAATGAATCCATGTGATGAGCAACTATTTCTAGGCACCAGGCAAGCAGGAACAGTACAAGTAGCAGAAAAATCAATATGGTGCGGTCAGTCAGAAATTAGATTATTTCTATTTATTTAGAGCATGTTTGTTTTGAGACTCAATTAACGTGAAACAAACGCTTAAAATTAAGTTAATAGATACAATCTACCAATATAATCACTATAATTAAAGTAATCATTATTTTTTCATTATAAAAATCAATATCTTATCATAAGATGCAACCATCATTACTATTATTATTATTTTTGTTATAAAAGTTACTATTTTTCTTATTCTATAATCATTATTCAAAAACTATAAATGAAAATTAATATATATATATATATTATAGAAAATTAATTGTCTTGATACATCCAAACAATGGAAGAAAACTCATTTTTTTTTAAAAAAAAAAAAGTTTTACATAAGAGTTTTTTTCAGTAAAATATTTTTTGCAAAACAAACATGCATGATTAATCTCTAAATATATTTCAAACAATGATATCATCAAGAAATTGATACTTACATGCAAGATTAAAAACCAATATATTATGCCATAATTAAATAGCAATGGTAATCTATCTATACAAGACCACTTTAGTGATGGTATATGACATGCATATGAAATCTAGAGGGACAGAACATGAGTTAGAGATAAGTTTAACGTAAAACAAACCATTGAAGAGGCTCACCTCATAACCACAAGGAGCACTCATTTCCTCCATAATTAATGACTCCCTCCTACAATTCTATTTAATTTGAGAGGAGCAGCAAGGGTGAAGACCAGAATATTTTTAGTCTTGTGTAGAGGGGCAAACCCTAATACATTTAGGAAAGATTTCTTTCAAGATTTGATGGTTTTGTAGCGAAAGAAACTTGATGGGTGTCAAATCCTTCCCCTTTATGAAGAACCATTCATCTTCTTCCCTCGCTTCCATGAATCTCTTAATATTATTTTGTTACCATAGAAGTGTTTCTGAGAGCTGAGGAACACTCATATGGAATAGGGGTGGGAAATTTATTGCCCCATTAATTTGTTTTCCTTTGTGGAGATAGATCTTAGCTTCTTACCATTTTTCTTTATCATGGAAAGGGGGCAGATCCATGTACACGTTAGAAATTTGTTAATGGTTTAAACTGGTAAAAAATCCTAATGGAAAAAAAAAAAAAACACGTGATGCTATAAAAATGAAATCTTGCTACAACCTGACTGAGAAAACAATTAATTTTCTCACAATTTTTTTTTTTTATTTTGAAATGATTATATTACGAGTTCATTCGAGTTTTTTAACATATTAAACTAAGTCATTTTTTATTATATAATTTATTTTTAACTACAATCAATTCAGTTCCTGCTTCATCAGTAGGGTTGAGTTTTACAATAATATATTTACCTAAAATTTACAATTAATTATAAACTAGTCATCTATATTTCATAAATGAGTATAAAAATAATTAAAAAGTGATCAAACCAACGTTGACCATACAAGATTTTATTTTCCAAAAAACGCATTCTTTCCTAATAAAATTTATTTATCTCTCATGAATTTATTTTATTTTTTATACATTTCAGATTATAAATTAAAACAAGGACACGAAATGGTGGAGGAAATAAATTATAAAATAAATTAGAAATAATAGGATTTATCAACAGAAAAAGCTATAGGTTAAACAGTTTTTGTATTTTTTTCATTATATAATAATATGAAAAAAATAAATTCCATCCAAATAATCTAAAAATTATAAGTTTGATGGGTGTATGAAACTCTAATGAAAAAGTGGGGGCCAGGGTTTTTCAACCAATGTCAAAAAATAATTAACAATCTATCTAGATATTATTTATCTACCATCCAAAAAATCTAAGCTCAACCTGCAGCGAAAACGCAAGCTATAAACTAGTATAAAACTACAGATATAATTAATCCTTTATGTAAAATAGAGACTAAGCTATAATTATTTTTTTTAAAAAAAGTTATCCTAATCCTCCTATAATTTATCATATAATGTTTATAATTTCATTATACTTTACATAGGTGTCAAAACAAAATTAACAAAACATATTCAGATTATTTGCAAAATTATTAACATACTTGGTAGATGAAACCTTGTTGGTTTGTGCATAAGAAATAAAATTATTTTTTAAAAAAAAAATTATTTTTTATACCAATATATTAAAATAATTTAAAAATATAAAAAATATTAAATTTTTTTAAAAAGAATTTTCAAAAACAAATGGTATCAAAAACAAAATGCTTTTAGCATTATCGTCGCCGGCGCCACTGCTGCTGCATCTAATGCTAGGCGCATCACTCTCCAGATTCCTATTTATGGCACTTCTAGCAGTCATCAGAATATCGAGGTCATCATCGACAAAAACCCACCTTTATCATCGCTTGCTCTTGTAAGGAATCATAGGCGAGGGGGGCTGGCATCATCACCATTAGAAAGAATATCATACCCAGTATCAAATTCTTCCAGCTCACCTTCTTTACTAACGTATAATTGATGCTAGAGGCATTCGGAAGCATGACAAATATTGTTTTTTAATTTTTTATTATTTAAAAATATGTGAAAATAATAAGATTTAATTAAGTTATTATGAAATATATTGTACAAACAGAGAATAATTCCAGAGTAAACAGAAATTTAAAGTTACTTTAATTGGAGATATGAGAATAATACGAGATCAGAAAAAGGAAAAAGATTCCCATAATATATCCTTAGTAAAACCACTTTGGATTCAACTATTTCAACATATTGATTAGAAATATCAGATTAGGCTTTAATTTGTTTTCAGAATTGTATCCGTGAGAGGAGAGAGAGAAATGGTATCAAAAAAGAAGGAGAGAGTTCCTGGTTTATCGTTAAGGAATCAATGTTTCTATTTATTATATATAAAAATAATTTAGTTGTTCCCCTAATTTAAAAATTTATACTAATTTAGAACATAAATTATATTTTTATAAATAAAAATAAAGTAAAAACTTATTTTCCCTTTAACTTTGCACCCTTTTTTTTTTTAAAAAAAAAGAACAAACGGTTTTTTATAAGCTCTGCTTGTATTATTATTTTGTTAATTTTTTATTTTTTTGTATTTAAATTAATTTTTTTATATATATTTTTAAATAATTTTAATATATTGCTGTAAAACAACATTATATATTGAAACCAGCAGCATTCAATAACAGACCGCCTCCTTTGCTAACCCGAAAGACAAGACCTTTCCTTCTTCGCATCAACAGCAACAATGGAAGAGAATGACCAAACCCCTCCATCTGAAGAGATGCAACCCCTCTCTGTCACCCCTTCAGCTTCACCCTCATCAAATCCCTCTACACCCCAGTAATTACTTTTTCTTTGAATTTGTTTGTTTGGTCAAAATTCTAACTCGTTCATTTAAAGTTCTAATCTGTTTTGGATTTCTTTAATGGGTTTTTATTTTCAGGGTGATGAGTTTAGAGGAAAGGTTTCAACTTGTGAGAAGCGTTGGTGAAGAATGCATCCAAGAAGATGAACTACGTAATCTTCTTGATAAAAAACCGCTACCCATTTGTTATGATGGTTTTGAACCTTCTGGGAGAATGCACATTGCTCAGGTATATTCTTTTTTGTTGTTTCAATCTTGTTTTTATCTTGGTTCTCATATATTTTGCTGTTAGTAATGAAAATCTAGTCTACTTGGTTACCCTTTGTTGTGATGATTGATGAGTTTGAGGCTTAAAGGCTACATCTTTTTGAGAAAGTTGTCAAGTGGTTATTGATTAAGGATCTGTGGAGTAGTGTTGATTTCAATTTTAGCTTTGCCTTGTCAACCTGGAGGCATTTGCTATTAATTGCGCCTTGGTTGCTTCACTTGACTCAGTTTATGCCTTGAAGCTTATGTTTAGAGCTTTTGTTCAGTCTAGTTTTTATATGTGTGCTTTTACTGTTGTTGAACAGGGAGTTATGAAGACAATAAATGTCAACAAGCTGACTAGAGCTGGTTGCAAAGTGAAAATTTGGATTGCTGACTGGTTTGCGCAACTAAATAACAAAATGGGAGGAGACTTGAAGAAAATTAAAACTGTGGGGGAATATCTTATCGAGATATGGAAGGCAGTTGGGATGGATATTGATGGAGATAAAGTCGAGTTTTTGTGGTCTTCCGACGAAATCAACTCCAGGGCTCATGAATACTGGCCTCTTGTTATGGATATAGCTCGCAGGAACAAGCTTCCTAGGATAATGAGGTACTTGATAGAGCTTGAAAATTGGATGCTTCCATAGTCCGTGATTCTATAGGGAACTAATAAAAGGTTGCATTTTGGTCCTTAGATGTGTTCAAATCATGGGCCGTAGTGAGCAGGATGAGCTAACGGCAGCCCAGATTTTCTACCCATGCATGCAATGTGCAGACATATTTTTCCTCGAGGTACTTGTGCTTGCAGTTGTAAATCTGAGTTTGGAATTTTCTTTTAATCAATTTCTTCAATCTGGGCATGTGTAATGACATTTTTTTCTTAAGGTGCTTGTGCTTATAGTTGTAAATATTAAACCAATTTCTCGTGTTCTTACGTGCAAAATTCTCCAAAAATCACTTTCACATGACATTTGTCATCATATGCTCCTACCTCTCCAAAATTCTCAACAGGCTGACATTTGTCAATTGGGGATGGATCAACGGAAAGTGAACGTCCTTGCAAGAGAATACTGTGATGACATAAAGAGGAAAAACAAGCCTATCATTTTATCTCATCGTATGCTCCTAATTCCTCTATTCAAAACTTGTGTGATGATATTATTTAGCTTCTTAAATAAAGTACGTTTGACTCCACATTTCATGAATGCAGACATGCTACCTGGTTTACAGCAAGGGCAAGAAAAGATGTCAAAAAGTGATCCATCTTCCTCCATCTTCATGGAGGATGAAGAGGTATGTTCTGGTTTTATGTATGGAGAATTTAAGAGAAGTTGCAATGTCAGTGAATTTGCATGCCTGAAAATATAAAGATTCCTTGCAAATTGCAGCAGTGCATGGTTAACTTTTACTTTCTATGCCTTGTTTTTTTTTTTTTAATTACTGTGTCATAGGCAGAGGTGAAAACTAAGATAAAGAAGGCATATTGCCCCCCACAAATTACCGAGGGCAATCCTTGTCTGGAATACATTGAATACATTATCTTCCCATGGTTCCATGAGTTCAAGGTGGAACGCAATCCAGAAAATGGTGGAGAGAAGTAAGTTCTCTTTATCTTCTAATTGCTTCATTTCTATTTGTTTTTGTTTTTCAGGAAGAGTGCATCTCAGCAAGTTCTTGCATTTATTGTCCTTGTTCTTTATTTCTCGAATGTTGGAAACTTCGTTATTGTCGCTTCATGCTTTTTTAAACAGTTAACTCTTTTGTTTTTGTTTTTATATAGTAATCGTGTGAGTTAACTCTTTTGTATTGATGAATATGACAATTATTTCCCTGCATGAGTTAACTCTTTCATGTACCCGGTTTATATATTAATGTAGGGTCTACAAAAGCTTTGAAGAACTGGTAGCTGACTATGAAAGTGGTGGATTACATCCGGGTGACCTGAAAGCAGCTCTTGCGAAAGCGTTGAATACAATACTGCAGGTAAACCTCACTTCAGGGGACTTGAATGGGAGAAAGTGGATTCACATGGCAGACAACTCTTTCTTTTTTTTCTTACGATTATGTCCTGATTATTCTTGACCAGAACTTTTAAGTCAGATTTGTGCCTTGCCTTCCTCTCTATTATATCACTGTTACTGTTGGAGGATCTTGAGTGTCCATAACAGTTAAAAACACAACCTGTAGTTTGTTGATGCTGTATGATGTATAATTACTTGAAATTACTCTATCCTAACTCGCTCAGCAAGCTAATTAAATACTACATTTTTTGCAGCCTGTACGTGATCATTTTAGCAAAGATCCCAAGGCTAAAGATCTGTTGAAACGAGTCAAGGTTTGTTTGTTTGTTGTTCTTTGTTATTTTTCAGCAAAACAGGCACAACTGCGAAGAAAAAAAGGAAAGGACAGAATAAAAAAGAGAAGAAAGTAACTTGGACATGTTATTTTTTAAAATGCATGCTTCAATCATCGTGGGCCTTTTTTTTTTATATGTGAAATTGATGTCTTGGTGTTCCAATATGCAGGGTTACAGAGTAACAAGGTGATGCGGAAGAGCATGTGATTTCCTGATCTACTTGTATTCTTAACACTTCTAAATGTAAATTGCTAAATACTTATTTAATAAAGATTGTCATTTATGTTTGGCGGTTACTTTTCAGAATTTGAAAGTTGAAACCAACAGTCAAGAAAACCTTTGATCTTTCATGAAAATCACAGAATCTAGATAAGAATTTGGTAGCATTTCTTTTTGTCTCAATTTTTCTCCGTGTTTGTCATTAAAGTTTGAATAAGGTCGCATGCCACTTCTTTCAGTCAATTTCTAGCTGAAATACCAGGGATAATAAGGGAGTTGGCTTGAACTCAGTGACCCTATGAAGGACTTTAACGTTAAATGTGGATTATAATCCTTTGTTGTTTTGGCATCATTTCGTTACACAATCCAGCTAAAGATTCTTATCAGCTCCTCCATTTTATTAGTTCTGATCATGCGACTCCTTTAATTGAAGGACAGTAAGAAGGATATTTTATCTTACTCAACAGGTTCGTTTGGTCTCTATTTCATCCTCGGACGGGCCTGGTTCAGGTTTAACACTGTGTGATGAAGTATAACCAGATCTTGGCTTTCGTGCTTGGTCGAATTTTCTGTTCTTCGTAATAATATTTATAAAATACCTAGTTATAAAAAAAACACTTGCTAACTTAATTCATATCCAACATTTAAACTTGAAACGTGTGAAACAGAAAAGGGATTGTAGAAGTATTGGTAACAACACGAATTTTACAGTTTCTGCTCAAGAAATTTTAAAGCAGGGAAGGCTATAAAGGGATGCAAGGGAGCTTCACAAACTGGGATTGACAGCATGCCCTAGTTGATAGTGGGCACAAAACAAGAAGAGTGATCAATCAAGCTACTTGAATTTTATTACAAATGACAAATTATGGGAGTGTTTGGAATCACTTTGTGCCACTTGTTTTTAAATTTTGAAAAATAGAACAGAACTTTCTTTGTTTTGCAATTTTTTTTGGTGAAAAAAAGCAAAATCAATAACCCTTTTTGGATTTTTGAAAAATTGTCACGAGTTCTTCGATTATCTTGTTCTAAAATCTAATAGATAGAATAAAATTCAAGAACTGATGATTAAAATAATCTAAAACCACAAATCCTTGCATGATTTGGTTATATTTAACAGTCATCAAGTCTTTTAATCTTACCGTTTAAAACAAACCAAAAATGCATTTAAAAAGGGAGTTTTGGACGATTTCAAGGAATTTATGCTCAGCTCTAGAAAATGGATCAAATTAAAAACTTTATTAAACTAAGGTAACTAAAGTGTAATTTACTCATCGGCTTAAACGCTATTTAAGATGTACAATAAGAAACAAATATTTTCCAAAACGCTAGAATTTTTCTCCTTCTCTCTGTTCATTCCCCCCATCGATAATCACTGGCGCAAATCGCCAAGGTTTGGCTTCAGAAATCTCACCCTCTCTTAACTTTATAATTGGATTTTTACAGTCGTAGGCTTCAAGCATCATTTGAGGTAGATTCAGCTCCAAAAATTATGAATCTCTTGCTTCGTTTCACGTTTCTGAGTTAGCACTCTTAAACTGTTTGAAACAATGCCTCAATGAAACTACTGCTAATAATTTTTTCTAAGAATTGAAAATCGTAAGCTTAAACACAAATGCAGGAATCTTGATATTTTAAAGCAATTATTTTGAAGTATTTATCTTTTTAGGTTTTTTAGGAGGAGTGGAAATGTCAAAGTCTTGCAAGGGACTTGCAATGGAACTGGTCAAGTGTCTCAGTGAGTCTGATTGTATTAAGGTACTGCATTCTTTACCAAGATGGTGTTTTTAATGTTAAAGGTCTCTCATTGGTCAAATTCAGTCCTTTTGAGATTCTTTTTTTTGCTTTATGTATGTAGATTGAGAATCGATCATATAAAGAATGTGCAGGAGAGAAGAGCCCTTCCATACCAAGTGAGTGTGTGGGACTTAGGGAAACTTATTTCAATTGCAAGAGAGGCCAGGCATGATCTTATTTTTCTCTTGCTTTTTATTCCATTTGATTTCTTTCTGTTTTCTAGTTTGTGGGTTTTTTCAAGTTTTCTGTTCTCTTTTCTTGACAACTTCTATTTTTCTTTGTGCTTTGGTTGCGATGAGTAATAATTTGATTTTGACCATTGTTGGATCGAATTATGGGTTTAGTTTGCATATATTTGTCAGACCTGGAGTTCTAGCATCACTGTGCAATTAAAGTCTCAATAGATGGGGACCTCTAAGTGAAGGAAACAGTAATTTTGAGTTCAAGTTCTTGTTTTGAACATCATAAAGGTGAAGATCCACGTGGTTTATTTTGGTTTATTGTGAAGATAATTGAATGCATATAACTACATCAAATGAGACCTTTTGTGGATTTCCAATAAAACTCCTGGTTATTCATCAACCAAGTGAAGTTAAATTATACACTATATGAATTATTCCTTGTTTTCATCCTTGGTTCATAGTGAGAGTTTGTTAGACAAGATTGTAAAAACCAATTAGTTCTCATTAATTTCTTCATTCACTAGATGGTGGGTGAGAATTGAAAGTTCTATGCGTTTTGGGCTTTATTAGGTTCGAACTCTAACTTGAACCGGGGTGAAAAAAGGTTGAATCTCAATGGTAATAATTGACTGAAAGTTAAAGAACTTGATGCTGTAAGTCAATGGAGAACCTTTTGAAGGTCTAATACACACATATAAGGTTTAAGGTTTGCTAGGCCCTATAATCTGGAAATGAAAGATGCAAGAAGTTTCCATGATTGTTTCATAGGCTGCGCTGATTCTTTTAACAAAACTAATGCTATCTATCACAAGGACACTTGTGTGGCAATGATGAAAATGTCTTTGTTAGTTATTAGATCATTATTACATAGCCCGCCATAGTTTGTCTATGCTGTTAGATTAGTTAGTTGCATATTCCACATCACAGGTTGATGCAAAGCAGTGGTGCCGAGTCTGAAAATTCTGATTCAGTGTAATCTACAACCCCCCACATCTCTGACTTTAAAAGAACTGTGTTCTAATCCTAGTTCCTGAACTAAGTAAATGCATGCTCTTCTATTCTGCACTTTGCAACGAGACTGTATTCCTTTTAGCTCCAAGAGCAATTTGATTTTCTGTGTCGGTCTGTGCCTGACCATGCCTCTACACATTATGCATCCATATGCATTCCTATATGCGGTGTATGGGAATTACCAAAAGTGAATGAAGATGAATAAAGCTTCTGTTTTACTAGTGATTTCTAATTTGAAGATAATCTTTCAGGTGAATAAGAGCATCAAGAAAAAATCACTTAAAATTATCATGAAAAGAAACAGTTTTGAATCCGTTAAATGTTTACAAAGGTCCCTTCTGTTGACAAGTCATATTCTGTGTTTTTTCAGGTTGACATGAGAGCTAGAATCCGAGGAAACAAGGGTTATTAAGTTCATGGGAATGCTTGAATGGACCCTTCCTGCAGGGTGGAACCTGGATAAAGAAGATGATTGCTTTAGCTTTACCTTGCTCATAGCAGTAGAAACACACCTTACCTTGTACCCAAGGGATTTTGTTGCCTAGATGATTGCTGGATAATGATCATGTAGCCCCCTTTTCATTTCTTTTTGGGTTTTCCTTTCTTCCAAGTTCTTCCTGACGACTGAGACTTGTATGATGAGAATATTAAATATTTTTTTTTTGTTTTTAGAAGACTATCATTCCTTGGACAGTTGCCTTGTATATGTCATTTTTAACTATGGTCATGCTAGTAGACCAAAAAAAATCAAAAGAAAAAAAAGTGGTCATAATAGACGAGTCTTGATGCTGATTTTGAATTTGCTCAAAGAGAGCTTATTGGAATCCTTTGTAGGAACCCATTATGTAATCAGCCCAATCATATGCGCTTGATATTCCAGTGCTTGAGATCCATGGATCATGCTAGAGTGCTAATATCCAAAAGACATTAACCATGGATCATGGATCATGGATCATGCTAGAGTGCTAATATCCATCAAAGGCAAAATCCCAACAGGACGAAAACCGAAACTTTACTGAATTCAATAATGTAAGGAACCATAGAGTGCTGCCTTCCGTTTTCAATTATATCCACACTTGGCAACTCATAAATGGTCCAGATTTTAGCTCTTCTAACTTCAAGAGGGCCCCATAAGAAAAAGCTTCCAGGTGAAAATATCTTGCAATAAAATTCAAAGCCACGACACTCGCTTGGTTTTCTTTTGCTTTTCTGGGTAAAAGAGAGCCCTTCGATGAAGACAGAGAGAGGTATCTTAACCAAACATGTCTCTATTGTTAGACTGTCCCCATGGCCCCAAATGGAGGGTTAAAAAAAACAGTTTTTAATAAATAAAAAAAGTATATTTCTTCATGAATAAAAAGAAATATAGAACAAGTAAAAAAATATAAAAATATAAATAAAAACAATGAAATGAAGATCAGATGAGGAATGGACGTTAGAGATAAATTGCAAGAAACAGACACGGAGAGAGATAAAGAGATAGGATATTATATTAAACGCTCATTTTCTTTCTCATGGCGGATATTACAAGAACTACTACACTTCTCCTTCCTTCTCAAGTCCTCTCCTTGTCTTTCTTGGAATTAATGATGTTCTTTCATTTGGGTTCTTGTTCTTCCTTTGTTTCTTGTCTTTAGTTGTTGCTGGAAATACAGGTTAGTTCTTGAAAGAAAGAGAAAGAGAAGGATCGAAATGGCTGTTTCCTTGGCTTTTGCTAATCTTCCATTTCAGTTTAGTAATGTTAAAGCGGTTGAAAATCCCTTGTGTTTTGGCTTGGCTCCTACACAGCTTCCTTTTTTATGCAAGGAACGAAGAAGGTATGCCTACTTTCAGACATTGTTCCCTCTTTTTAGGTGTTTGTGTAGTAATGTTTCTCTGTGAATATGACTGCTTCAGCTTTAACATTCAAGTTTGAATCTTTATTGAATAAAGATCTTAGGATGATTTCTGTAGTTCTGTTGGATTTGATTAAGAACTTGAGTGAGTGTTGAAAACAACAATAACCCATTTAAATGTGACCGATTTACTTCTTCTTTTTGTTGGATAATTCTCTCTCCAAGTTAATTAACTTTCCTAGTGGTTTAAGGACTGGCCAGAGGATGCACCATCCATACCTTAGCTAAATGCCAACTCCTGAATCCCCTGCTACTAATAACAATGGTAGCTAGATTTGCCCTTTTCATGTTTTTATCAAAGCTTCCACACTTGAAATTACTACTAATTACTTAATTTCAGTTCTTTTCTCAACCCCCCTAATGGCTCATTACTATGAGGAATAGCTGCATAAGGACTCGTCTGCTACAAGATGGCTGTTCTGGATCTGAAAGCCTCTCTCTAATCAGTGAAATAGAGAAGCATTTTTTGGAATACAGTTTAGCACCCCATGACAATGAGCACAAGTTTTACATCATTATCCAAGCATTCCATGAATAAAATTACATTTTCACCTCATCATTCTGTATTGTCATTATACTTTCTTCTAACCATATATGATTGTTGCCAGATTGTCATCTTCCACCAGGACAATAATTGTTGTGCAAGCTTCATCGGCTCCAACCATTGAGGTGTGGGGCGGCTTTTTCTGTTTTTATAGGATTGTAGTGCATATGAACTTGCAAGTTCTTCTTATTTACTAAATAGAGGAAATGGTGTTTTAAACAGGATGGAAGTCAAAATGAGACTGATGCAATTCCAACTCCGAAAGTTATAATTGACCAAGACTCTGATCCAGACGCAACTGTGGTGGAGATAACCTTTGGAGATCGCCTTGGTGCTCTTCTGGATACGGTATGGAGTCCTATACTGGCTGAGATAGTCATCAGATTTGTCTTTCTTTTGCTGTTGACATATTTATTTTGGATCTCCAGATTTAACTGATTTTGAAACTCTGTTGTTCTGAACCACTTATCGTTGCCTTCTAGTTAGCATATACAGACAATTGTGAGCAATCTATGATTAAATGCCTTACAGATGAATGCGCTTAAAAACCTCGGGCTGAATGTTGTTAAGGCTAATGTCTTTTTGGATTCTTCTGGGAAGCACAACACATTTGCCATCACTAAATCGTAAGTTACATCCTACATGTTATGTTTAAGGTTTGAGAATTCACTTGTTTACAGAAGTTGGATTTTTTATTTTTTTTGTCTGTTCCTTCTCTCTGCTATTCTTGAATTCTCCTATCAAGTCAGTATAATTGGTTTGTCATTCAATTTTGTATAGGAATGAAGGATAGATTAACTGTGCCAAGAATTTTATAACAGGAAATTAAATGTTATAATGCAACATTTTCTGTGCTCAAAAGTGTTGTTCCATATCTTCCTTGAAGACTTGGATCCCTTTGTTTTATTTCCAAACTATCAGTAGTCTCTCTCTTAAATAAAGGAAAGGTGACCGTCAATAATACTTAGAGAGGAAGTTGCTTGTGTCCATACATGACAATGCTGCAAAAGTACACTAACAACCAGACTATCAGAGATATTCCATGAGATGAAATTCATGGATTGAACAAACGAGTTTCTGAAATAATGTTTTGTATAATTTTGTTTCTGATGGACCATATGATTCTGTTATTACAGTATCTTTTTACCGCAAATCTGACTGCCTCTAGCAATGGAGCTTTTTTTCAGAAGTACTGGTAGAAAAGTTGATGACCCAGAGCTGCTGGAGGCCATTCGTTTGACAATCATAAACAATTTGCTTCAGTATCACCCGGTAATCATTGTTGGATGTGCATTTATGCTCTTTAAATATCATTAAAGAATGTCAATTGTCAGATGTGCATCTCCGTATATGCGTAACCTAATGACTGTCAAACAGGAATCAAGCTCACAGTTAGCAATGGGAATTGCCTTTGGAGTAGAGCAACCAAAACAGGTTTCTCTTTGTTTATCCTGTCTTAATAAGTTATTAAATTCTAAAATTGTTGGCTTTTCTCCATAGTAAAACATTTTCCTGCAAACTCTTAAAATTGAGGTAAGGGTGTCATAGCCCGTAGGATGGGTGTTATTTGCGTTTACCCGTCTCCAACTCTCTTTCTCGTTGAAACAGATGTCCTAAGGGGAGAATGTTAAACTATTCATCTATGAATTATTCAGAGAAGATTTAAGTCCCAAGTTATTGATCTTAGCTTAGCTCAAAATTTTGTTATTCTGCAATTCCTCAGGTTGATGTGGATATAGCAACCCGTATAAAAGTCAAAGATGATGGTCCTGACCGAAGGTAACTTGTGCTTTGATTTCTTCAATACTGTCCAGATACGCGCTTTTCTTATCACAATGCTCTCAAAGCGATTCTATCAAGTTTTTATTGTGGATTACACTGTGAAGTTGGAAAAAATTTGTCTCCTTCAAGAATAATAACCTTTTGTTTCTAGTGTTTAGCTTGTGAACAGTAATTACTAAAGGGTTGACTGTATTTATGTGGCAGCTTGTTTTTAGTGGAGACAGCTGATCGACCAGGATTACTGTTGGATCTTGTAAAGAATATCACTGACATTAACATTTCTGTTGAATCAGGAGAATTTGACACCGAGGTGATAATTCATCTGCATATATTCTGCGCCATTGGATTTCCTTTCCTTTGTATCTTTCTCATATTTTGAAACACAGTATCCTTAGCATAACAATCACACCGATGTTTCTTACTGCGGCACCCAGGGGCTGTTGGCCAAGGCAAAGTTTCATGTCAGCTACAAGGGTAAAGCCATCAGCAAGCCTCTGCAACAGGTATGAAATATCGAAGTCTACTTCCTCAGTCTGTTGTTGATGATACTCTTGTGTCCTCATGTTGCTTTATGAACCTTGGCAGGTTCTCGGTAACAGTTTGCGATATTTCTTGAGGCGACCAACGACCGAGGAAGCAAGTTTTTGAGCCATGCTAGAAAATGACCAGATCCATTATCATATACTCTACGGAGATTGTGATTTATACTCAATGTCGGGGAATGTAGAAACTTGTTGTCACATTAATCTGCATATAGGAATCACATCGGCCTCACATAAACTATGGACAATAGATTCTTAGTCTTTACCACAATATAACTGTCTCACAAACTATGGAATTTTATTACCAATATCATTGAAAGCAGATGGCAGTTCTGTTACAAAAACATGAAAAAATCAAAGCCATTACTTTAGCCATGTTGCCATTGATAACTATTATTATGAAGTGTTAATAGTTACATGAAATCATTCATGAGATCTTACCTAAGTTTTTAGGTCAAAATGGTACGATATTAGAGGTTTAATAATCATTAGGTCTCACATAACCTAGTTTATGGGAATTGTTATTTAAGATTCCTGTATTTGGTTACTGCTTGATAGCTAGCAAATTGAGCAATATTTCAGCAATTGTAGACTGTAGAGAAACTATGGTTCAATTTTAACCAAATAAAAATAAAAAAAATCCAAACCTTGTTGCATGATAACAAGAAAGTTATGTGTTGTGTTCTATGTGTGGACAACAAATGTTAACAGCAAGGTTGCCAGACCTAGCCTGGGGTCTGATGCTTTTTAGGGTTTGAGCTGCGAGGAGGATAACTTGGGTCAGTTGTTTTATTTAAAAGATCGGATTTTTTTTAATCCCGTTTCTTAAAAGTTAATTTAAAAAAAAAATAATTTTTTTATATATTTTGAATTATTATGATATATTTTTAAAAAATAAAAAAAATATTATTTTAATATATTTTAACATTAAAAATATTTTAAAAAACAATCATCCCTTATTTCGTGAAATGCTACTCCTCCTAGGGTATATAACCAAGAAGGCTTACAAGATTCTTGGCAGCAAGCTTCAGGAATCAGCCATTTGGCAATAAACAGGCTGCTGTGTATAAAGGTTATACGTACCAATGTTTTTTAGAGTCTCTTTTTTCAATTTAAGAGTTTTTTTAAAATAAATTATTTTTTTATTTACTTTAAATTAATTTTTTTATGTTTTTCTATTTTTTTAATGTATTGATATTAAAAATAAAATTTAAAAATTTAAAAAATATTATATTGATATATATATATTTAAACAAAAAATATGTTGAAAAGTAATCAATATCAAACGCTGGATTTATTCTTAAAAAAACATAGAAACAAAAAAAGAAAAAAAAAAGGTGTACTTGTTTCGATCAATGTTACCCTTGTGTAAATGTGTGTTGATGAAATCTCTCTTGATTGAATATATTGATATGATAGTAAGGCCATACTCGAAGGGAATTTTGTTTATGGAAGAAATTGTGCTTTCATTAATTCCCCTATTTTCAAGTTTGATTTATATGGAAAAAGAAAATACTCTTTCCAAAAAGGGGAAAACTTCCCATACAAGTAAAAGGACAGCTGGCCCTTCAACTTCTCAAAACACTAAACAAACTGACCTTCCTAACCTTCATTTAATGCCACAAAAAAGAGAAACAAGGTGGCAAAATAGGCATCCAAAAATGTCCTCCTGCCAGTTGGCCTTCCCCCCCTTCGGAGGCTACTATAACACTCCTTGCAGCAGACTGGCGTCTCTTCCCGTCTCTTAAAAGAGTCTGAGTTTGAGCAGTGTCCAGCCCTCTAAAAATCCAAATAATATATTTATAAAAAAAAAAAAAACGAGTAGCAAGCCAAGTAAGCTAGGGTCTCGTATCGTCTCTCTCTAGCCACTGCAAAATCAGCCTCGCGCGCTCCATCGTTTTTGTCACGCTCAAGGTATATATTTTGTAGTGTAACGCTACTTTTTCTTTCATGCCGCTGTAGTCCTTGCGCGCGATCTACATCGCTCGCTTAATGCCTCTGTTTTGGGTGATTCGTGCTTTTTTGCAGGTTTTTGTGTCTCTGTAGTGATTTCTCTGTGCGTTTGAGTATGCATGGGGTTTTTTTTAGTGATCTTCGTTTATGCGTTTAGGCTCCGTTGTTTTTCTCTTATTTTATGTTTTTTAATATATTTCTGAGATATTTTGTCGTTCAGTGAAGTGATTTACGAAGCGGTTTTTTCGTTTTCGACAGATTTTTTAAATTTCTTTCGATTTTATACTGTTTCGGTTATTTTCTTTTTAAATGTCTTTTTCCGTGTTTTTATGGTCCGTCATTTTTTATTCTAGGTATTTTCTTCTTTTTATAGATTTGTAAAAGCGTATTTTAGTATTGTTCATGTATTGGTTTTGCGTTTTTGCCTGCTCGAAAGTCATTTTTGAGATATTTTCTTAGAGATTTTGAAGAGTGTTTTAAATCTAAAAGCTCTGTTTCATGCTTTTCTTCTTCAAAAATAAAAAATTTACCCCCGCGTTTCTGTGTTTTCTAGTTCCTTATTTCAGTTATTTTCTATTTTTTTTCGATTAATGTCTGTTAATAGAACTTTCTATTTTGCTCCGTTTTTTTTCTTTCTATTTTTCTTTTCCTTTATTTTGGTATAACACTGTTTTTTACATAGAATCTATTCTCAGTTGTTAATAATGTACTGTCTTACATAGTAGCGTTAGTTAATAATGATTGCTGATATGGTTATTTAACTGTTGTATGGTCGAAGTCAATTGTGTTTTTGATTTATCAGGTATCAGAAAATGGAGTCTTCAGATTCACGGAAAGATTTGCCACCACCTCCGGCTATAATTCCTTCTGACGTGGTGAAAACAGAATTGGGTCCAACTTATGAACAAACAAAGAAAGCAGCAACCCCAAAACGAGTTCCCATGGCTCGCCGTGGGTACGGTGCTAAAGGACAGAGAATACAACTACTAACCAACCATTTCAAAGTGGCAGTGCCCAAGTCAAATGACCACTTCTACCAATACAGTGTATTTTTTTTTTCACTTGCAATTTGTTTTCCCCCTTTGTTTCCTATACATTGAGCATAATGAATTTTGTTTTGTTTTATATGTTTAATGTTGTGATAGGTTGGTCTATTTTATGAAGATGGCCACCCGACCGATGGAAAGGGAATCGGAAGAAAGGTTATGGACAAAGTCCAGGAGACCTATGATTCTGAGCTGGAAGGTAAGCAGCTTGCTTATGACGGGGAGAAGACCCTGTTTACGATTGGTTCTCTTCCACACAACAAGCTGGAATTCACTGTTGTGTTGGAGGATGTCTCCTTAACCAGGTAAAATGAGTGTTACTTAATCAGTTTGTATTGTTCATTTTTATTATGATTTATCTTTCTTCATGTGCAAGTAATTGACCGTGTGAGGTTTGTAAATCAAGATTGTTAATTCCGTTTCGGTAAATGTTTTGTTTTTTCAATTGGAATGGAATATTTTGATTTCGAACTGTTTCAGTGTGTCATTTCGGGGTTGTACTGTTTATATATATATTCAAAAACATAAGTTAAATTCAAGATAAATTAATTATAAATTATGCAATACAAACATAATGCCAAACAAATATAATTTCAAAATTTAAAATATTTCTAAATAGTCAAGATTAAATAGATCTTTAACTTAAAGTAATTTAACTTAAATAAAATATCAAAATATTATAAAAATAAAATGTTTTAACACAAATATTTTAAATATAAAGTTAGGTCAATGTTATCAAAGCTAATGTAATATAAAACATCTCTTGTTTTGCTCAAATTCCTACAAAGTATAAACATGAAAAAAACAACATGAATATAAACCATATATATTAGTGATAAATCTAATTTTAAAAAATTAATATAATTGTTAATGAAAATAGTAATAATAATTTTTAATATTATTATTAATATCATTGTTATTGAAAATAGTAATTAAAAAAAGCTTTTTATAATTGAGTGGTTTAATTAATTAAATTGAACAAGGTTAAATTTAATTTAATGGCTTTTCAAGAGCAGAACGGAACATGTGGAATGAAACTGGAACATTTTAGGTGGAATTTAGCTGAAAAATCCGGAACGGACCGAGATTTGAAATGAAATGAAATTTCTTTTGTTTTGTTTTGTTTTTTAAATTGATATAAAATGTTTCGACTATTCTAGACGAAACAAAACAGAATTAACAACCTTATTGTAAATAGAGGTGGAGATAACGACAGTTCCAGGGGTAACGGCAGCCCCAGTGAAAGTGATCTAAAGCGAAGGAAGCGGCCCTACCACTCCAAAACGATTAAAGTACAAATCAGCTACGCAACTAAAATTCCAGTTCAAGCAATTGCAGCTGTTCTGCAGGGTCAAGAATCTGAACATTTTCAAGAAGCTGTCAGAGTACTAGACATTGTGCTAAGACAGAATGCAGCAAGGCAGTGAGTGCCATTCCTCTTCTGGTGGTTTTCCGTTGCTCAACTTGTTTCTGTATCTGATTTGGTTTTCACTCTATGCAGGGGTTGCCTGTTGGTCCGACAGTCGTTTTTCCATAATAATCCAAGAAACTTCGTTGAGTTGGGAGGTGGTGTCATGGGATGCCGTGGTTTTCATTCAAGTTTTCGAGCAGCCCAAGATGGCTTATCTCTGAATATTGGTTGGTAGAAATCTAGGAATTATTACTCAGTCATTTAGAATGGCCATACTTATTGTTTTTGTGCGCAGATGTATCAACCACCATGATAGTTAAACCTGGACCAGTAGTGGACTTCCTAATCATGAATCAGAATGTTCGAGATCCTTACCATATTGACTGGACAAAGGTAGCCAACTTTGACTTTCCATGTTGATTTTGAGTTATTGTTAAAGCGCTCCTGCAAATTCGTTCATTCATGGGTTAAATGCCAGGCTAAGCGGATGCTTAAAAATTTGAGGATTAAAACTAATCACTCCAACACTGAGTACAAAATCACTGGATTGACTGAAAAATCCTGCAGAGAGCAAACGTGAGTTCCTTATATGTTGCTTTATTATTATGGACTTGATGCATTAACTTTTAGTATTTCAAAATCGTGCTGTCATGTGCTCAATAAACTTGTGTAAATCGTTTAGTTTCTCGCTAAACCAAAGAAGTGGACGGGAACGGGAAGGTGAAGTGCAAACTATTGAGGTTACGGTTTATGATTACTTTGTAAATCATCGCAAAATGCGATTGCAGTATTCAGCTGATTTCCCGTGCATTAATGTTGGGAAACCAAAGCGCCCATCGTATTTTCCTCTTGAGGTGATGTTTCTGGAGCCTCTTAGCAATTCAAATGGTGAATGACATGCCTACGCCTTATTGTTTGGTTCCCATATATGCAGCTGTGCAATCTGGTTTCGTTACAACGCTACACCAAGGCGTTGTCCAACCTGCAAAGGGCTTCCCTTGTGGAGAAATCACGGCAGAAGCCCCAAGAGCGGATGAGATCTTTGACAGATGTAAGTACTGTCCAGCAAATGTTAATCTAAACCTGTAGCTTTATTTTCATTTTTTTCAGATTTCTAATCACAAATGCTTTTTTCGGTAGGCTTTGAGAAGCAGCAATTATGATGCTGATCCAATGCTTCGTTCTTCTGGAATTTCAATTAGTGCTCAGTTTACTCAAGTTGAAGGTCGTGTATTATCTGCTCCCAGGGTAAATACCAAACTCAGTATTTTCCTTTTCCTTGATATATATGCATTTGGCATCTGATGAATTAGGAGTTGGTTTCTTTCTTCTAATTTACACTGCGGGCGCACTGTCTTTTTTACAGTTAAAAGTGGGAAATGGAGAGGACTTCTTCCCTCGAAATGGGAGATGGAATTTCAACAACAAGGTGCTGTTTAAACTTTGTTTTTCTTTAATCATTCATGTTTAATAAATGGTGTATGTATGAACTTTGATTGTGTATCTCAGAAACTAGTGGATCCAGTGAAGATAGAAAAATGGGCTATAGTAAACTTCTCTGCACGTTGTGACATACGTTATCTGTGCAGTAACTTGATGAAGTGTGGAGACATGAAAGGCATTGTGAGTGTTTCAGCATTTAGCAATATGAAATCGATTTCATCATTGCAAATTGATCTACATTAACCTTTCCATTTTTGCAGAGCATAAGTAACCCATTTGAGGTATTTGAAGAGAGTCTCCAGTTTAGGCGAGAATCTGCTACTGTAAGAGTGGAGAGAATGTTCGAGGCCATTAAGTCTAAGCTTCCAGAGCCACCACAATTTCTGTTGTGTATTCTTCCAGAGAGGAAGAACTCTGACATTTATGGTTGTGCTGCTTGCTTTCTTTACCCGCTTCCTATTCATGCCTTAATTAGATACCTTGAGATTGTTTCTAATTAATATATACTGCTGCAAATTAAGGTCCGTGGAAAAGGAAAAATCTTTCTGATTTAGGGATCGTCACACAGTGCATTGCACCTACAAAGGTGAATGATCAGTACCTGACAAATGTGCTACTGAAAATCAATGCCAAGGTAGAATTTTGCAATGTCATACCGTTTGAAGTTTCTTGTTTTCTCCAATTCTGTCTGATTTCGCTCCAAAGCGTTCATGCCTTATCTAATTCTCATCATTCTCTCATTTCCCACAGCTTGGTGGAATGAATTCCTTGTTATCAATTGAGCATGCTCCTTCTATACCTTTGGTCTCTAAGCTTCCCACCTTAATACTTGGGATGGATGTATCACATGGCTCTCCTGGTCATTCTGATGTGCCATCTATTGCTGCGGTAATAAATATTTTCTCTGCTTTTCTTTCCGCTGTACCATTGGTTATCTGTGCTTGATAAATTATGTTACCTCAAAGTTCTTTTCACTTTTCTCTCTTTCGAAATCTTCAATTCTCTTCTTATACTGCATACTTTTAGGTGGTAAGTTCCAGGCACTGGCCATTAATTTCTCGCTACAGAGCTTCTGTTCGCACCCAGTCACAGAAGGTTGAAATGATTGCAAATCTATTCAAGCCTGTTGCTGGTACTCGTGAGGATCAGGGCATTATCAGGTGAGTAAAAAACTCACATTTAGTACTGATTGGTTTCGAAGATCATTGATTTTCTTGCGTTCATTGTGTTAACTAATTTTGTGTTTTCAATGATGAGATTGTCTGACACACAAATTTGGACGACCTTGTTGATCATCAGTTTTTGTGATTTCTTGAAAGCTAGGATGTTATTTATTTCGGTAACTTTTGGAATGCATTTGTTGTTTTCTCAACTTTCAGGGAGTCACTTCTGGACTTCTACTCAAGCTCAGGAAAAAGAAAGCCTGATCAGATAATTATTTTCAGGTACAGAAGGCAGCTCTGAAAAATGTCCTTTATATATTTGTTTGGATAGGTAGAGACATGAGAAACATATTTTAATTGATAATTTTTTTAACTGATTAAGTAGTTTATAATTTTTATAACCAATTACTGATGCTGCATGGCTTGCACTAGTGATAATTTATGATTTGCTTGTTTAATGTACTTGCTTTCCTGTGTAGAGATGGAGTGAGCGAGTCACAGTTCAACCAAGTTCTAAACATTGAACTTGAACAAATTATTGAGGTTTTCTAATCTCTGATATATTTGTTCTTGAGCAGTTTACTTCTAATAGATTTTTTTCTGGTGTAATTACACTTGTATTTTTTTTTTCCAGGCCTGCAATTTCTTGGATGAGAACTGGTGCCCGAAATTCATGATGATTGTTGCCCAGAAAAATCACCATACCAAGTTCTTCCAGTCGGGATCACCTGATAATGTTCCACCTGGTTAGTTCACTATCCCTAGTTTGTTCACCTGAAATGAAAGGAAAAGAAGGAAGAAACAAAAGGCTGACTGCGGAAGTTCTTTCCATGCAGGTACTGTCATTGACAACAAGGTTTGCCATCCCAGAAACAATGACTTCTACATGTGTGCTCATGCTGGGATGATTGTAAGTTGCTTTATACGAGTCTAGTGGCTATGCTTCTAGCTACCTTTTATTGAACTTGCTTCTTTTCATTCTGCCGAGTCTTAATATTTAAGCTTGGTTGTTGTGTGGCACTGATTCTTCTCCATATAAAGAATAAAAATGTTTGGTTTTATGTTGTAGAAAGCACATGGCTAATAACCTCATTGTTCGAACAGGGAACGACTAGGCCTACTCATTACCATGTTCTACATGATGAGCTTGGTTTTTCTGCAGATGATTTACAAGAGCTTGTGCACTCCTTGTCATACGTGTAAGTAATTGCCTATATACACAATTATCTGATGATATAATTTGGCTGGACTTATGGCAATCAATCTGAAGGCATGCGCAATAACTTTTTCAGCAAGTAATGTCTACCTTTTTAAATTTTGCAGGTATCAGAGGAGCACCACTGCCATATCTGTAGGTAATGCATTAAACGACTCGGTGTGATGGCTTTTCATGTTCCCTCTTAGCAGCACTCCAACCTTTGGGCCTTTACCGTCTTTCTAAAGCAAAGCTTTCCGACAAGCAATTTCTTAACTTTTAACAGCTTAGCAGATTCTTTAACTGTAGAAATATGCTTGTATGTTCTTTTCACTGGGTGGATTAATTTGTTGCAGTTGCTCCAATTTGCTATGCCCACTTAGCTGCAAGCCAGATGAGTCAGTTTATCAAGTTCGATGATTTGTCAGATACATCATCTAGCCGTGGTGGGGTTACTGTTCCAAGTGCTGTTCCAGTTCCAGAATTGCCTCGTCTGCATGATAATGTCAGCAGTTCGATGTTCTTCTGTTAAGTCGTTGGTTTTAATTATGCTCACAAACCATAGTTACAGCTGTGCAGCTTACTTTAGCCTAGAGTTGAATAGTTTCCTACCACAAACATGCAATCGTATTTTGGTCTTTTAACCGGATCTCATTCCCGTCCTGAAATGATGCCTGACATCACTACTTCGATGTCAAGTGGTTTACCCCCCCTATAAACGATGACATTAGAATTCAAAGTCTCCTTTTAATCTATTTTTTTGGAAAGTTCGCATGAAGGTTATAAGAATCGTAGTTATAAGATTAATTTGGTTCACTCCTGTGATTTAAGCCTTGAATTATTTTTTTAAAAAAATCTCTCAAACTTTGTTTAGATAAAAAAAAATATTGGTTTTTTTTTATGATTTAGTGTACATATGGTAATATGGTGTATAATATTTTTATAAAAATATTTTTAATTAAAAATATATGAACATATTAAAAATTATAAAAAAATAACATTGATTAATATGGATAAAAAATAATTTAAAATCTAGAGTGTTAAGTTTTTAACCATGATAATAATTATGTATGGGAAATCATCCTATTTGTTTTTGTATTTTAAAAATATTTATGAAAAAAATTGAATTTTATTTTATTTTATTTTAAAGTAATATTTTTTTATGTTTTTAAATTATTTTAATATATTTCTAAAAAAAATACTTAAAAAAATAATCACTAACAATTCCAAATAAACAGTAACCATTACGAGAATTAGAGAACCGAAATGTCTGCATGGATTATTAAGCGCTAGGCCTCCTAATCGCAACATAACAATAGATACAGGTTTGTTTCTTTTGGCGGGCCAATTAACTATTGAATTAGTTACAGAGCAAGTGTTTGTTTTACATGGATGATAATTGTAATATATATATATGTGTGTGTGTGTGTTCGTCAATTATTATTTTTCTCTATATAATCCATTTATTCTTGGATAAATAATTATAGTTTTTATTTCATATTGAATACCCGAGTATCTTATTCACCCGAGATTCTATCAAATGCGGCTCGGTACTAAGATTGATGGGCTTTTGTATAGAAGTAGAAGTGGGGAAATGGGGGATCCAGCCCATATAAAATGAATTGCTAGAATTTAGTAAAATCATCGTAACATGGCCCAACACTAGAAGCGATGATTTATTGAGCTCCCTTCTCCCTTTATCATCTTCCACCACTTCAGAAAATTCCAATCTTGATCTACTGAGGTGATAGTGACATTAGGAATTTAAAGTTCCATGATGTGCATGACAATCTTCCTTTCGAGACTAATAAGAAAAGAAGAATGCTAGATTCTCATAATCATGATACTTGTAGATCTATAATTAACACCTAAACTAGGAATGATAATTTGATCACTGAGATTATTATATAATTAAATTAAAACCATACATTAACAAGGAAGAGAGTAGATATAGATAATGTAGAGTATTGTTTGCCGACGAACATGTCGTGATCATCCCTCACTTGACTTGCAGACAAAGATAATGTATGGTTTTTAATTTTCTTACTGATGGGATTCTTTTTAGAAAAAATATTATTCGTGGGTTTATTTATGCTGATTTATCTGTGTTTTAAAATATTTTTGAATTAAAAATATTTTTTAAAATATTGAAGTATTTCTATACTAAAAAAACATTTTGTGGCAAAAATCACCTTAACTTACCAAATATCGAATATAAATTATTAATAGTCTTAACTTGAAAAAATATGTGATATATGAGATTATATATTCTGTATTTATTAGCTATTTTTTAAAATATTTTTCAAATTAAAAGATGTTTTTTAAAATATTGAAGATTTTTAACTTTTATTTTTTAAAAAAAATTACAGCACAAGTCACCTTAACCTGCTAAATACCAAAAACAAGTTACCAATCACTTTAACATGAAAAAATATATAACTTTTTTTAAATCTAACTTGAAAATCTTCATAGACTACTTCAACTTTTTTTATGCCATCAAATAACTTTTAAAAGTGTTTTAATTTTTTTTGAATATAATAATCTTCTAAGGTCAATTATATATCATTATTCATTATTGTTAAAGAATAATATAAATTATATTCTGGGATCTCCTTTAAAAGTTTTAACTTCTGAATTAAGATGATTCTTTGACATGGTATCAAAACCTTGATAACCAAGCGGTTACGAATTTGAAACTCACCATTTTTATTTATTTAATAAAAATTAAACACAAGATAACGTATATTTATATAAATTTTAAATTTAAAAAGTTTTTATTTAAAATGATATATTAAAAAATAATATAAAATATATTTTAAAATATAACTTTTAAATTGAAATAGACAATCATGACAGCAACGTCAACTAATCACTTGTGTGCATGTAAAACCAGTGGTTGGACATTGAAAATGGGATCAGAGCAAGTGCGCATCGATGCCAACCATTTAAAAGAAAAAGAAAAAGAAAAGGCAAGAGGGAATTCACACGAAAACGATGGAGGCAAGGGGGAAATAAAAAAAATCCGTCGAGTTATATAAACAATGTATAGGGTAGCTACCGCATCACATCACGATTTATACTCCATTCTTTCTCGCATCCCAACCCACAATATATTTCCTTCTCCAGCTTCCTATTCTCAAGATCTTGTGATCTTGACATTCATTTTAATTGCAAGATTCTCTTTTCTAGCATTTTTTCCTTCTTATTTTCATTGTTTTTCTTGGGTTTTGTCGTGTTTATAAAACCATGTTTCCTCAAGATTATTTTTTTATTAAAAATATTTTTTATATTGTTTTAGTGTCATCATTTCAAAAATAATTTTTAAAAAATAAAAATGTATATTATTTAAATATATTTTTAAATAAAAAATATTTTAAACCTGACCATTACTGTAATCCTAAATAAATATTTAAATCAATCCTGAAATGCAGACGCCGGCCCGATTTGACACTCCACCGTCCCCGAGCTCGAGGGATTGATGAATTCATTCTTGTTCACAATTTCACATGGGTTCATTTACACGTGGCATGGACTCCTAGATGACAAAATGGTGGTTGTAGTTGGCGTTGCTTTTGTCAAACAAGGCAGCAAATACTCCCCCCGCGTGAGGAGGCTGCGTGCAGTGGCGGATCCGCCAAATTAAATTCAAGGGGTCGAATTAGAAAAAATATTTTAGAGGAGCTAAAATCTTAAATTTTTTTCTTTTATTTTAGCTAAAGCAATAAATATTATTAAGAAGAGACTGGAAACCAAAAAAAACCTACTCGCAGGAGCGGCCCCACTGGCTGCAAACATGTTTTGCATCTGCATGTACGAGCGAGTTTTCCATGAAAGGTCAAAAGTGATTATATTTTTTAAAAAATATTTTTTATTTTAAATTAATATTATTTAATTATTTTAGAAACCATCTTAGTTTATTTGTTTTGTTTCTAGAGAGCATGGGCCCTCTCTGTAGGAGAAAACAAATCTATGATACTTTCAGGATTTTATTTGAACAGGTAAAAACTGAATATATTTTTTAAGGAAATACATGGCTGAATGCTCGCCGTCTAATTTTCCATTCAGATTAAGATATTCAAGGCGTAATCATAACTAATGATTAGTTATAGTAAATTTGGTAATTAGATTAGGTGAGATACATAATTTATTAACACTTAGATACGTTTTATTATTGCTATGGCTACGTTTTATTATTGCTATGGCCTATTGGATAGAAGGAAGGCAGAAAGCGATGGTAAAAATGTACGTGTTCGATAAAATTATAAAAAAAAATTATTTATGTAAGAGTTTTAGAGTAAAGTTTTATACTTTTAAAATAGAAAATAATAGCAAAAATATGTTTATAAAATCAATGTTTATTTACTTTTATTCTTAAAATATTCTTATAAAAAACTCTCATTCACGAAAGTACTCAACCAAAAAATATATAAAAAAAAATTGATTATTACCATAATTTTAAAATATAACTTAAAAGTCGATTTGGAGCAAAGCTCGAGTCACAAGTCAGGTTAACCCGAGTCAATATAAGAATAAAAGAATTATTATGTTAGTTTAGAAACTCAATTCAGGAGTCGATTTAGGACAAGACCCGAGTCACGAGTACAATATACAATTCTTTTACAACTATCAAGCCAGTAATTGTTTTATAACTAAGATTATTATAATATTATTATCTTCAACACTTAATATAAACTAAAGTAAAAAAACAAAACAACAAATTATTTTAAAAAAATATGTAAGTTTGATAATAATATATATTAAAGGTAAAATATTTTTATATATATATATTTATGTCTTAACCACCATAACCAAATAGGATAAAGAGACAATCATTTTATCTAGTATATTACTAACAAACACAATTCTATCTTAGTTTTATTTTTTGTCTTATCCTTTCTATTTTCACTGTCTCTGTCTCCTGTGTATCGAAACGGTAATTAAACGCTACTTTAAAAGATATTTGACATAGTTTATATTTTTTATACTAACTTGGAGGTTGATCCGGAGCAGAGCATGAGTTACGGGTCAGGTTGACCTTGATCAATATAAGAATAAAATGATTATTATAATAGTTTTAAAACCTAATTCAATTGTCATTCCGGAACAAGACTCGAGTCGCAAGTGGAATGGACCATTGACCAGGATTACTATAAGAAAAAAATTGTTATTATTATATTTTTAAAACCCAACTTGAGAGTTGACCTTAAGTGACACTCAAGTCACGTGTTATAAGGAGCAATCTGAGTTGACCTAGATCAATATAAAATTACAATAATTATTATTATAGTGTTAAAACTTAATTCAAGGGTTAAACTAGGAGAAAACCTTAGTCATGGATCAGGTTGGTCAGCTCGAGTTGATCCGAGTCAATACAAGTGTAAAAATCATTATTATCATAATTTTAAATCCCAACCTCAGGGGCAACTCGGGCAAGGATCACGTTATAGGCTAGAAGGGTCATCATGAGTTCACCCAAGTCAATACATGGATAAAAATAGTTATTATCATAGTTTTAAAACTTGACCCGAGAGTCGACATAAGACAAGGTTATGGTCATGAGCCGAGACGGACAACTTGGATGACCCAAGATTTTTATTTTTTATCCAAAAAATTCAACAAGTTTTTGATCCATGTTTTATCCTGACTTGACTTGGATTTTTTACTACACTAGGTCGAGTCAAATCTTCTTTTATTTTTTATTAAACTTGGTCTAATTC